AGAATACGATATTGTTAGGCTTGCGGACCGACTAATCACGTCCGCTGATGTTAGCTTCAGTATTGCTATTGCAACCCAGCTATCTCTTAATGACTTCAACGGAATTGGCATAAATTTTTCCAGGGGCAGACTATTCGAAGGGTCGATCATGCTATTACAAAAGAAGAAATATCATGTTTTCAGCCTCTCCCTGTTGGCATGTCGTATAATTGCATGACTCCTCGAGTTCGTAGTTAATGCTTACTCGAAGGAATTGCCAGGTAGAAGGTGGCATTCCTGATAGTGCATAGTACGAAATGTTCGTATCATCTCATCACGAAGTAGCCTGAAACGCAAAGGAACTAAATTAAGTTTAGGCAAACGTTTCCCATAGGGTAATGCGCGTATAGGAGTTGAGGATAAGAGTCTTAACCCTAACAGCTACAATCTTTTAGGCAGGGATAAGTCTCAGCCTTAAATCCCATAATTGGTGACCCCAATCGTGAGATGAACTCTAATCTCAACTTCTGATTTGGCCGAGCTCAATCATTGTCAGACCAATCTCGCCTTCAACTAAATTTATCCTCTGTCATTTCTTTTGCCCGCGAAATGAGAATTTCATTACCGACGCCTTGTCGTGAAGCAAGAAAAATGTTTAGTCGCTCACAGTCCACTGACCCTAGACTTTGGTTCCTTCCCCATCTAACGGAGTATTTTCCCGCTACGAATTCCAATATCCAGATCTCCTTTCGAAAATCGGATCCTACTTCTATCGCCAACGGTATCCCTTCCTCCTCGCAGCGAACACAAACACGGCATTCTAAATTGCCGTCGAAGTTCAAGGCAACCAACCAGGCTCACTCTCACGTAGTCGAGATGTCCAATCGCCTACAAAATGCCGATGCACGCGTAGTCGATGACATTCCTCCTACAAGCAAACAGACCCAGTGGCCCACGCGGACACGGGATGACATTTCCTCCTCCCAAGCGGCACTGGCGGAACTGGCGAGCCTCTCGCATGTCAGCCCTAGAGTCTCATGCAGGTAACAACTGTCCCTTCAACCTGGCTCCTGCAAGGCAACCTCACAAACACCAGCTGTTCGAACTCTATCTTTGGTACGGACCTCGTCCCCTATCTCTGGCAAACCTTCTTTCGATCGCTCTCTTTCATCGACAAACTATGGTCTATGAGGGGGCACTTGTAGTGGTTCGACAGCCCACCTCCTTCAAACATGAGAGACAACCGACGTGTTCTCGCATGGTTAATCTGGGTCACCCAGTAGCGCCTTTCTCAGCTCGAAGGCGCATATCGGCACTGCGCGCGTCCCTTGTCCTCGCACGACCGAGGCTCATGGACGCGCCCCAAACTGGTAGACCAATTAGCTTCCCAAAGCGCTCTGGGTCAATCAACTTCCTGAAGTGCTCTGCAGTCCTCAGTCGATTCCTGCTACGGGCAAACACCTGGGAATTCGAAGATAGTAGGTTCTAGGGTTAACCGCCTTAGCCTTAACTACTATAACTGGTGACACCGACGTGATCTGAAGTGAGGCTTGGCGGCGTAGGGTAAGCAAAATGAATATGTTCGAGTTGTGCTTGGGTGGCCGCGAGATCCTAGACGCACGATTTTGTGTCCGCTGAAACGTTTGAGCCGCGTTCCGCAAACCAAAAGGCATGCGAGGAAATTCGAACAGGCCAAAAGTCGTTGTGACAGCGGTTTTGGGAATATCCTCCTCCGCGACCTGTATTTGATGGTAAGCTCGAACGAGGTAAATCTTGGAAAAAAGTCTTTCTTGCCAACATGTGGGAAAAATCGTCAGCATGTTGTATCGGGTACCGGTCCGGAACTGTTGCTCGATTAAATGCGCGATTGTCACTGCATAGCCGCCAATCATCGGATGACTTCTTGGGAACCATGTGCATTGGCGGAGCCCATGGCCTGCACGACCGACGAATAATCCCCAATTTATCATTTGCTCAAACTCATTTAATCGCGATCTGACCCTTTCGGGATGAAGCCCACGCGGGTGATGATAAAAGAGTCCATTGGTGGTAGCGATGTGATGTCGACCAGCGTGTTGAACCTGCTCCTTGAATTGACAAGACTTAGCGAGGGACGAATAATCCCTCAAGATATCAAAGAATGGCGGACTTGGCACAACCAAGTGTATGTAAGCGGAAGGCTCACGCAAAATTACCCCGATAGTGAACAGCTCGGTGGAAGGGTCGATCAGCTTCTGGTGTTTGATGTCGACTGTGAGGCCAAAACTGGAATCGGCGACGAAGTCCAAGGTCTATAGTGAGAGACCGCTGACCGTACGTGGCAATGGTGGTACTGTTGGCAGCCAGCAGTGCAAACAGCGAAGGCTGGAGACGGTGAAGTCGAGTTGGTAAAACGCTCACCTCGGCACCAGTATCGATCAGGAAACGATACCCTGTGGATTGTTGGAAACGTAAAATAGGCAACTTTGTCGCGACTGGCCAGCAGCAGTCGTCACCATTACT